GAACCTGCTGGCAATGGGAGAGATAAGGAGTGAGCCCCCGTTGGTGGGGGGAGCCTAGGCCCTGGTTCCAACACAGGGGCATAAGGAACCACCAGAGAAGGCTGAGAAGGGCCGCTGGGCGATGGCAGGAAAGCCAGCAAAAAGTGGCGTTCTAGAAGGCAGCCACAGTGTATCCAGGAGGCTGGGCCAACTGTGTCCACTGCTCCTTAGGCAAAGTTAAGGGATCTGTGTATGAGGTGTACACCGGGAAAAACTCTATCTTCTCTGCTGGTCAAAAATCATCTCTGCTGTTCACGCTGTTTCTAGAGATCGTGGGACAAACTTTTCATCATCATTTTGTCCCAGATATGTAAGACAAAAGGAAGAACAAATCTCTCAACTATCCTATCACAGAGCCATCACTGCCTCCGCGCCCCCCCCCCACAGTGCTGGAAGCACACATCAGTTTATCACACACACACACCACCACTGTAACTCACAAATACCAGGCACTGAAACTGTTTTATTCACTATCATTCTTGGATCTTAGTACAGTGCTCAGTGTATCTTGCTAAATAAATAAAAGCATTTGTAGTTACATTTACATTATAACAGAGGAAAATAAGAACAAGCAAAAGAGCAAAGAAAGCCACTTACTTTTTATGATGCTATCAAATCTAATAGTAAACTGAAATAACATATTTGCAACTTGGATTGCTGATAAAAATTTCTTAAGAGGTGATGGTAACAAGAAATTATTAGCAAGCACTATATGACTATGTTCTTAAGACATCTGGAAGATTATGTCAAAACACAGCAGAGCAAGTTAGGTGAAATACTGGGCTAAAAAAATAGATGCCATCTCTGCGGGAGGCCATAAGGGATGATCAACATGCAACCCAAGCACCTAAGAGACAACCTGACAGAGTGGCTGGGTCTAGAGCTAGATCAACCAAGTCACTTCAGCAGACAGAACAGTCAAACTATTGTAAAATTAAACTTCTTTGTTTGGGTCACCAAGTCCATAGAGAAAATATGATTTTTAATTCTTTCCTGCGCAGTAACACAATCTGCCCAAATGCAAACTTTTCACGCCACTTCTCTTAAACTGACTTCTACATGCCGCCCTGACTGACCTTGTCTCTGTGGGCACTGCAGACTCGCCTGACCTCACTGGTGACTGAGCCCGAGGCACACAGAGCAGAGGAAGCAGAGATGGGGTCAGAGGCCTCAGTGCTACACAGATGGCTGCAGAGGGGGTGTGTGTGTAACGATTCACTGAAGTTAAGACACTTAATAACATTCCTTGGATGAACTGTGTATTACATTTCACCAGATTTGGCTAAAAATGATTGGCATTCCTTCTGGATTTACATGCCTTTGTGAGGCCATATGTGTGAGGTTTTATGCTCTCAACACCGAGTCATCTCTATTTGCAAATACAGTTTTGTGAGGTTCAAGAGTTATGCTGGGTTAAGTTCAAGTGCTATTTCTAAACAGAAGCAGAAACACTAGTACAGGCTATAAATAATCCTTTGTTTTTTAACTGTCCCATTTGCAGGTACTTTGGCTCAGAAAGTACTTTCCAAATTTAAAGTATAACTTTAAATTACGCAGTAAATACAAAAATATTTAATTGTTTTTTTTATTTACCGCAAGTAACAAAACATTCAATAAACACAAGATAGTATTTTTCCCCTAAAATGTGATACCCACACAAGCTGGGTTTGGTGACATAGCATATAATTACTGCTGCTTACATTCGTATGTCTAAACAAATCCACCATACATACTGAATTCACTGACTTTTATTCTTCTGAATCAGACAGCATCCTAAAAAGAAAATGATTTATTTTCCTCGAGTCTCCACATTCATTGACAGCCCAAGTGTGAGGCCGTCCACACAGCAAGAGTGGCCCCAGAGCATGCGGACACACTGTGAGGGCTCAGACACCTCTAGCAGTCAACATCAGAAGTGCTAGCTGTGCTTCTGGGTTCGGGGTGGTACCACAGGGCACTTGGGTTCCCTCTGAGGGTGCAGAGCTGCCAGAAGTGCTAATTATAAAGAAGCGAAGATTAAATTATATTTCAGGGGAAAACCAAACTTGAAAAACTATTCCTGGCATTATTGTGAGGAACTGCAATTGAATTAAACCTTGGAATTTAAAAAGCAAACAAAGTAAGAGAGCTGGCGTCTGGGAGGGACCAGGGAGAACATAGAGGGCGCGGAACGGGCCGCCCAACAACCACGTGGTCGTGAAAGACTGGCGGGCGCGGTGACTCGACGTGGCAGAGGGTATAAACCAGGAATCGCACCCCATCTATAACGACTGCAAGCATTCAAGGAAGATGATATCCAATAGAAGGGCAAAAATTATAAGCTAAAGAACATTCTACTGTCTTCCTTTTTAACATGGTCCAAACGGGGGAAGAAAGAGTTTTTGGACCTGATTTATAAGATGTTACTACAAATCACAGTCCAAACCTCCTCCATTTGGCATGAATCACACACTAAACACACTTTTCTAGCTCTGCTGGCCTCCAACAAACCTATGTGCCAAATATCACTTGGTGAGTTTGATAAAATCTTCTGGCAAGTGGCAGGCTTTCAGACCCCCAGGCTCTTGCAGAGCTCCGAAGGATTATGACAGGGAGGAGATTCGAAGTGCTTTATGAAGCAGCACTCGGGCAGGGCAGGGCAGGGCATAAGGCAGGCCAGGGAGGAACACCTCAGTACAAGTCTCAGCACAGGGCTCCGCGAGCCAGAGCCGGGGTTCCCTGGCCCCACAGGCAGTCACCTGGGAGTGGTCTCAGTGGGTTTTCCACAGCCTTCACACACGTTATATGCATTACTGAAAACAACACGCAAATAGGGATGCCGCTCATACCATTGTCAAGGGGAAAGTGGGTGGTTATTAGTTTCCTATACTTTGTAACACTTGGAATAAATAGGAAGAACATACACTGTTTGTGCAACGAAAAAATCTGTGTTTGATCCTTTTAAAGAGTATTTTATAAAATGTAGAAGATGATACCAGAGGAAAAATAATATTTAAAAATTCTTCTACCTCTTCCTGGACACGGGGCACGGCCTCCTGACCCACACAGTTACACAGCAAAACAAGGTTGTCATTTTTGGTTCTTTCCTCTTTTTATTTCCCCCAGCCCCCCGTTAATCAACACCAAGCCCATCTTACAGCCTTAACCACCCTTCAATTCCGTCCCTCTGCCACAAGTCTGAGGCAAGGGTAGGGGGACCGCACCGTGGAAGAGCTCAGAAAGCCACCTCACCCCGCTGTGCGCCTCACCTGCGGGGAAGGGAGGCCTGCGCCTCACCTGCACAGCCTCCGCACATGCTCCTCATCCTACGGGGAAGGGCTCTCTAATCCAAGACCAAGACATCTCATAGTCAGTGACTGTGAAGAGCAAAATACAGGAAGCAGTCTCCAGAGAAGAGACCCCCAGGAGCAGCAGAGTCGGGGAGAGCAGGCTGACGGCCTCTCCCAGAGAGGCTGCCTCTGGGGAGATGGTGATGTGGGCTGAGGATCGGCATTTTCTGATCTGTGCAAGTTTTCATCGGCGAATGCCTCAGACATGCTATTTGGCAATTCAAGGATAACAAACTCTGAAATTACTGCCTGCGGAGTCAGACCTCCCTTCAAATTACCCCAGAACCCAAAAAGCTCCAACTACTAAAAAGGGAGGGCTGGCACCGGTAATGCCAGCACTAACCTTGCTCCCGGTCTGTGACAGCCTCTTCCCGGGGCTTCTGGGTTAGAGCCTATGTGATCCACTCTCCTGTGGCAGTCAAAGCGACCCTTCCAAAGCAAATGTGGCTTCATACCTCTCACCCCAGAACGACGTCTTCAGAACTCCCTGCCCCACGTCCCCACATCTGGCTCCCCACGCACCCCTCCATCTGACACCTTACCCAGCCTCTCTAGTCCTTGGCATGGGGTCACGTTATCCCTAATCACCGCACATATGCTCCTTCACTTCCAAGATCTTGTTCCCATTTTGTACCCCACTCCACCCATCCCCATCAGCCACACTCTATAATCGCCCCTCAGGTCTCTCCCTAGAAGTCACTTCCTCTGGGAAGTTCTCTCTGAGCACCCACTACACCTCCAGGCGGGGCTGAGTGTCTGTCCTCGCTGTTCTGAAGCACAGCACCGGTCACACTGAATGGGCCGAGCCTGTTCCGTCCCTCATTCTGACTCTCCGAGAAGAGGGCCGCCCGGGGCCGACACGCTGCAGCCAGCAGGCAGCGCTGCGCCAACACCCGCTGTGCGATGGAGAAATACACTTACTGGACAAACGAAGATGGGAAGGGCGGAAAAACGAAGCCGTATCTGTGGGCATCTGGGGTAAGGAATGACTAAAAAGCCAGGAAAGCAGAAAAGTCTGCTGCTGAGTGGCCTTGACTTCACTCTCAACCAGAATACCTTGAAGTGCTTGCAACAACATACCAGCCTCCCGAAACCACAGAAAGTCAACGCCAACAGGAACAAATGTGGGGGTGGGGTGAAGAGGGATATACATGTTGTTGAACTATTTCCCAAAAAACCATCATAAAAATGAAACACTTTCCTATTCCGAGGCTGACAGTGGTTAGAGACCCCACCCCAACAAAGTTCTGATCTTTAACGCCCTTTAACCCCCAGTCTCTCTCCCCAATCAAAGAAGAGAGCGGCATCTACCAATCGTCAAGTAATGAAGGTCAACTTTGCACGAAGTGGTTTTCTAGCTAAGAGACTGATTTCCCAGGCACCTTTCCTATTACAAACAAGAACGTTAACAGTGGGGGAGCAAACTCTTGAAGCCGACAAAACGACCCGCAGTGTCTACTTGAACGGGACACGAAGCAGCTTGCTGCAAAGAATGTGGGGGAACACTATTTCACTGGCTCCAAGGAGCAAAATGAACTTGGGAGGGAGTCCCTGTGGCCCGTTTACACAAAGGCCCAATACACCCAGTTTAAAAATACAGTGAAAACAGTGACACCTATTCGTATCACTCACCGGAATGTAATAGATGCCCATCTTCGAGGCTTCGTTGGCAGTGAGGAGCATTCCTAAAAGTAAACACAATGAAAAAAGTAAACAATGGTCAATACAATGAAAGGGAAATACAATGAAAAAGGGGTAAGAAAAGCACCCTTTCCTACCGGCTTACTACATTTTCAAATGCTGAGGCGCGCAGAATAGGATATGGCCAAAGAGCCAGGCCCCGGGAGGTAGGAGGCAGGCGTCAGCCCCTTGCCCTCCTAGGCTGGCACCTTTGGCTGCTGGAAAGACCACCTTCCCCACCTGCAAATGATCAGCCTGTACAAGCTCAGTAAAGCAAAGCAAAGGGCAGTTCTTGCCAGCAAGGTCTGCGCAAAGTCTGCCGTCATCCCCAAGGGAGAACGGCTCACGCTTCAGACATGGACCAAGGCTGTCTCGGTGCACTGCACACGGGCATAACCAGGGTGGGTACCAGGACTCAAAAGGAAGGGGAACCATCCCGGCAGCAACAGTAACCTGTGTCTGTTACTCTCTGGTACAAAACCAAAGAGAAATGTCTAAGTTTTGTTCTCTCTTCTTTGTCCTCTTTGAAAATGGCTCCTCCCCAAGGCTCTTGAAGCAGCTCCTCAGCCCTCAGAGTCTGTTCCAGAATGATGCACTTTAAATAAGACTGACAAGAACAGCCACTGTGGTCCCTTACAGTTCACCAAGCACACTCGCGTCTATCATGGTAGTGGACACAGAACAACACTCTGAAATAAGAACCACGGTCAGTCCTGGTCTATAGATTTTCAAAAAGGCTCAAAGGGACCAAGAGTGCCATCACGTGCTGGCTAACGGTAGCTGTGAAACGCACATTCATGCGGTAGCTTGCAAATGTGAACGAACAAGACTAAATTGCTTTTAAATACTTTTGCGGATGAGCTAAATTACATTCATTTAAAAAACCTAGCTGCACAATTCACAGCACTTCAGAGGGAAGACATCTGGACTATCCGACTACACTACCTTTACTAAATAAGCTAAAGATTAAAAGTAAGAGTCTGAATCTGACTGGCCCACAGAATCACATCTTACACCTAACTCCAAAGCGGGAGCCCGCCCTGAACTGTGAGCAGCCCTCAACAACATACACACACACCCCACGAAAATTGCCAAAAAGCTCGCAGAGGAAGGCGAGGAAAAGCTAGACTATATGCCTAAATGAAAGCAAAACACAAATAAGGGACATTTTTCAGTTGGCAGCTCCTGCATCTTCCATCTGGGCACTTGCTCCGGCCCTGGAAACAAATGCTCACTGAGGTCACAATGGGGGGAACCCTCTCCACTGACTGTGCTCCCCAAGTCTCACAACAGCACTACCAGCTCCTCCCAGCCCTTTACACAAGGCTAAAGACGTCCTGGCGTCTGAAGGGACACATCACAACCCAAAAGAAGGCCCGTGATGCAGACAGCCCGGCTGCACCGGCTCAACTCTCAGCACTGCGCCCTCAACAATACTCCAGGGAGACGCACCCACCTGCCCGCACCAACTGGCCAGGGCTCTACTCTCACAACACAGAAGAACCCGGGCTGCGTGTAGCAGCCTGCTGGCTACGTGGGGTGAGCCCTCCCTTGGCCACATATGGGTAACGGGCGAAGCTGACTTCTACCAGAACTGAAGTGGGAAGGGTCAGGGCAGAAACCGGTCATGAAGAAGTAAAACCAAGAGGCTCACCAGCCCGAGAAATGTAAGAAGTCTCTAAGAAGAAAGGAGCAGAAAAATCAAACCAGGGAAAGGAAACGCTGGAGCAGCAGAACCAGCATGATCATGGGAAGTGACGTGCCAGGCCCTTTACAGCCACAGAGAAAAAAGAGGCCTCAGAAATGAGATCTTTGGTGCAAGGTCATCACGGAGCTGGGGAGCACAGAGCCGGGGAGCTGCTGACTCCAGAGCCCACATAATGTGGGCGCTCAACCTCCATTTTGTCTCAGGCGAAAGGAAAAGACTTCCTGCAATATCAAATAACAAACCCTCAAAGTGCCAACGTAAACAACAATCTAGCAACATGAAAAATGTTTGTAATTACGTCGAACTACAAAGCAAGCAAATTACATGTATAATGTGATGATAATTCAAGACACGAACACAGTAAATGGATTTCTTTAATAATGAAGAAAGTAATGATACTGTGATGAGATCGTGGAACTATGGATGGTTTTTCCTTTCAAGATTCTTCACAATGAAGTTTATTATGGTTTCAACAATAAAAAGGTGAATTTTAAGAGAAGGGAGTCAAAAGAACACACCCAGTGAGGCAGCCGAGTGCCGGATGGCGGCACAGCGCGCTCGGGCTGGGCTGGCGGGGCACCCTCGGGAGCCAGCACGCGCTTGGGCTGGGGCGGCCCTGGAGCCGCAGCCGGGAGACGCCGGCAGCAGTGCTCTCTGGCAGTGGGACTCAAAGAGCACCTGCGCCAGTCTGCAAACCTGCACTCAGCGGAAAAGAGATGTAGAAACTGAACGGATAACTTACAACCTTAATATGCTCTCACGGCAATGACATCCAAAGGTGTGATCTTTTTTCTAGCAATTCTTTTCTGCTGTATTTTACAAGCATGAGTCTGCAATGGGCTGGAAATTTTAAAGCATAGCTCAGGCAGATCACCAGGTGGATGTGAGACGAGCCGCACGAGGACACAGGTGGTCAGTCAGCGCCTCGTGTCCCTGTGCGCGCTGGACGGTGCCTGGGGAAAGCCGGGACCCTTGTTCCCTTGTGTTCATTATACGCACAGGGCACCGAGGACACTGATGACCCTACGAGCCTTCCCTCTGCATAGAGAACACAGACGCAAAGGCTACTGTGCACTTAACAGAGGGCAGGCTCCGCAGCCCCTGAAGGTGGGCGAGACACGGAGCCTGGGTAAGTTACCTAATCATTAAGCCTGAGGAAGGGCTTTCTGAGTCGTAAGTCAATCTTTTCTCTCTACCAGTGACTCTGAAATCGGAGATCCTGATTCGACAGGCCTGGGGTGGGGTGCGGACACATGTGAGCTCAACACACTGGAGCTGGAGCTGCTGCCTACGCAGACGCTGCCGAGATGGCTGGATGAGCAATGAGAGCAGGAGCGTCTCGGGAGCAGGGAGGGTGAGAGCATTTCTCAACATTCTGACAGCTTTGGTATTAGAAAAACATTACAACACAGTAATCATGATTCGACTCTAATTACTCCAAAATGAGTAAGTGACAACATAAAGAATGAACGTTTCAGTTTTTCCAAAATATGCACAAGGTCATAATGATTATGCACACACAGAGGAGCAGCGGGAAGGGGGAAGGAGAGCGACGCCCGAGAAAGACAGCGAGGCCCAAGAATCGGCCTCACTCAGGAACCCCAAGCAGCTGTGGCGGTTCCCGCCTCGCTGGGCCCGCAGCCTCGGGAAACAGACCGTCTGGCTAGCAGTTGTGCGTCATGTAAGTTGTCTATCAACACTGGTGATCCCTCCGGCCCAAACAGTGCTCTCACAGTGGTCGCCTTCGCCACGAGCGGGCTTTGTGAAGTGACCCGCGCTCCCGACAGCTCAAGTGCACCCTGCAGCGGCGCGGGCTGGGAGCCGGCCCAGGGTCGAGTCCCAAGTACTGAGGTCCAGTTTCAGATTTGGCTTCTACTTTAGGGAAAAAATACAAGGTGTGGACGAACAACAAGCTACAGGACACCACGAAGAACAGCCACAGAGAAACAGGATGAGAGCAGCCTCGACACCACCAGCCTGACCCCGGGAGGATCGACAGTCAACGGAGAAGGCACGAAAAGGGCGGGTTCCGAGCAGGACCGAAAGAAACCAACAACACGTAACGAAGTCACGTCCCCTCCACCCCTCCTTGATTTCATCCCGGTCCAAAAAAGCAAGCTAAACCCCTGGGGATGGGCTGATGTACGATCCCCTTGGGACTGAGCGGCCTGGCCACCAGTAGGCTGTCCGTCTCCACTGGGCCCACACGACGCTGCCGACTTCCGCCAGACGCACGCATCCAAATAAACCCAAGAGAAAACAGCTATTCCAAGGGGAGACCAAGCTGCCACCCTACTGGGTTTTCGACTTCTCATGATGTTTGAAATTTATCCTAACAAAATACTGGGGATAAAGTGACCCTTCCTTTCTGTGACATGAGTGCTACAGACCAGGGAGCTGCAAGCTGCTTCTGGAAAGTGGTGATTCAAGTGGTGACTACTCCAAGCTGGGGCACCGGGACAGCACGGGTGACCCAGTGCTCGCCTGGAGCTGCTCCTGCGAAGAGGCACCGACTGTAAATTCCATACACTTTTCACGTTCACAAACCATTCTTTTTCTCATTGTTCAAAAAAACAAAATCACTCTCAGCTTACAGACTGCAACAAACCAGGCAGCCGGGCGGATCTGGGCCAGGGTAAGCCCGCCAGCCTGATACGGACTGTTTTTAAACTGCTATCGGTTGAGGATATTTCTGTACAAACTGTCTAGCATTTCTTCACAGGAATTACTTTATAAGTGTACATTTAATCCTAAAATTACAGTACTCTAAGCGTGTAATTAAAATGCTATAAATACATCTTCATTACATAAATGTCCTAGACATTTTTCCCAGAGAGAAACCCTTTTACTTCCCATTAAAAAGGCTATATTATTATTTTTACCATGAATATAAAGTGAACTCATTTATGATTTAATCTGAGTCCCAGGGGAGAAGTCAGATCCATCGAGCAGACATGCGGGTCGCACTAAGCCCGGCTCCTGCTCAGCCAGCTCCTGGCTCCACAAGCCTCCTGTCCGCACGTCAGCCTCAGTCTCCCCAGTCAAAAATGACTCACATTTTTGAGCCACATGTCTCAAAATGTGCAGCCCTGCTTGTCTGGAGGCCTTACTTTCTACCGTGCATGGGACGCGGCTCCCAAGTGCCAGACAGTGGGGCAGGGCTGACAGCAGCATAGCCCAAGAGGGGGCGGCGGCTGGGGCAGCACGCTGCTGGGCCTCCCCTGGATACTCCAAGTCAACATATCTGGGGTAAGGCCAAGGAATCTATTTCTAAAAAATTTCCCAGGGAGTTTCAACGGGCACCAGGCTTGAGACCCTCTGCCACCTGTCACTGTGCCATCGCCGCCTAACATGCCAATGTTCACAAAAGAAAACACAATCCTCCCTCCCCAGCGCGATCTCTCGTGTCCCCAGTCTCAGCTCAGAGCATCACTTCCTACTCACTTTAGCGCAAAACTCATGTGCCTTTTGCACGGAGAGAGCCTCTGGCAGCGGTCTGCACAGGCTGGAACCCCAGACCAGTCCACGAGCACCCCGGGCCTGCAGCACGTGCCCCACTGCTCTCCTGCAGCGGCCTCGGCTCTGGCACGCGGGGAGCCCCATCCAAACAAGACCCAAGGATCCTCTCCTTGCTCTTCGCCAACAAGTCCCTCACCTGCCAACCCCTTCTCCCAACTCCATGCATCTCTTTGAACTCAGGGCAAGTGAACCTGTACTGGGCTCTCCAGCAGCTCCCACATGCCTTCGCGCACTCTCATGCCATCTGTCCAGGCAGAACAGACTGTACCCCTCCACCAAAACGACCTGAGTCTGTCCTTACAACATGCCGCCCGAGTGGCAACTGCTCTTCTCTCCTCTCCTGCCCCAAAATGCTGCACAGATTGCCTTGAAGGTAACACCTCAAGATGTGCTGTATAATTTGCTGAGAACAGGCAAGACAGAATATACCAAAGCCCACAGCCCAGCGAGCATGGTGTGCGTTGTCAGCCAGCCTTCAAGCCCTAGCCCTAATTTCCACATGCCATTACTAACTGCACAGAAGAGCTAAGGGCACATGAAAATAGCACCTCGCCTGCCACCTACCTCAATGCTGTTACCAGTGTCTCTAACAGCTGGCTGGCTAGGGGCTGAGTCACTCAGAGTGCCATTTTCTGAATCATCCACACCACTTCCTGCTCTTTATTTTTTGAGTACAATATCCAACAATTGTCTGACCATGCTAAAACCCTGACTTGCGACGTAAAATGAGTTTAAAACCCAACAAAACATCCCTCAGTGTGTGTCACTGAACAACGCTCTGTTACAAACTGTGTACCTGAGTTGGGGTAGAGGCAGACATCATTGATGTCGTGTTCTGGCTCCAACGAAGTAAATATTTTCCCCTAAAAGAGGAAGCAAAAAGGAATTATTAAAACAGTAAAAACAACTTTGGCAACGTCACAAAAAGAAAATAAAGGCCTCCCTGGTGGCACAAGGGGTTAAGACACAACCTATGAAGCTATCCGCAGCCACTGTAGCACAAGTTCAATCCCCGGCCAGGGAGCAAACCATGTGGCACAGCAGACCTCTCCTGTTTTTCCGCTGCTCCCCTCAGCAGAGTTATTTCAGTAGACATGCCTGTTCTGTTCCCCGCTCTGTTTCTGGTGAATCCTCTCACCCCAGTTCGTGTATGCATAAATAAATGAATCTTTAAAACAAACAAACAAACAAAGTACACAGGAGCGAGAACTCAAGCACACACTTCTATGCAAATAAACCAAATCACCCAAGTAAATCACAAAATTTAGGCTTAAAAAAAAATCTTAGCAAACTCATTTAGTCAATCTATCAAATGTCACCATTTTGTAGATGAAGAAACTAAACCCCAGGGGAGAAAGATGAGTTACCCAAGAAAATAAATACTAAGATTCAGAAATAACTTCTATACAGTAAGGCTAAAATTTAAAATGAAGTTGTACACCTACTTCAAAAAAAATCCTAGGGCTCTGTTAAATATACCTCCGTTAAATTTGTACTCAAGACAAAAAGGGAAAAAATGGTCAACAGGATAAAATGAAAACAATTATCTGCCATAACAAGGTTTTGAGGAGGACCAAGTAAAATCTTGGATACATGACAACCTACCAAAAATCCCATGGGCACAGAAAATGTAAGTTTAATACCGTTAAAGCTAACTTAACACGTTTTATTTTGAATGTGGAGGGAAATGTGCTATGTTTTTGACAATTAGGGAAAGTTAAAGGCAAAAACAACAAAAGAAGCTGGAAATGGGGAAGGTGGTGAGGTGGGTGAAAGAGGAAGGCAAGTTGAGCACAACCCAGTAAACTGGTGCTGGCCGAGAGGGGTCCAGCCATGGAAACACACTGCCTAAGTACAACTTGGTGACAACTAAAGCAGGACGATTTTGAGAACGATGCTGATGAGCCTGCCAGCACCGATGGGTGCTAGAGCATGGGCCAGGCGCCCATGCCAAAGGGTGGGGGCACTGACACGATAGGGGAAGAGCGTCGCATCACACCGTGTGATAAACGGCAGCCAAATTCTAATTAAAATGAAATTCATAGAGTTACCTCCTTTCTTCTCAAATTCTCATTGAAATGGGATGGGGGAGGAAGAGAAGAAAAAAGGAAGTGGAAAAGGAAATACAGCATGGAACAAAAAGCAAAGATGCCACAGCTCGCAGAAATCATGCACATTACAGAAAACCGTGCAGTGTGGAAGGACATGTAACTGATAACAGCATTACCTCGAGGGAGGATAACCTCCACTGTATCAGTAGTTTAGCCATTTTAAAAAATGAAAACATACACATTGAACACAGTTTGAGGGTAAATTAGTTGGAACTGCCAAGAAGAGAGCAGAGGAAATTCTGGCCTAAGACTCCATGAATCTTCCCAAGAAAGTCTTCAAGACCCTACAAGTGAAAGCCAGCAGGCGTCACCTCCCAGCCCACCACCAGGGAGGTTCTGCCAAGAACGGAGAAGAGCAGGACATCCTCTGCTGAAGTCCCAGGTGCTTGAGAGGCAAAGCACACCCCAAGGACCACGCTGAGTCTCCAAAAATAGATCCAGAGGAAAAATGATGACCAAAATATAAGGAGCTAGTAAAGTGAAAATTTCAAAACACAAGAAATGGTCAAGCAGCCAGGGATTCTGACAAGCAGCGCTGTGTGATGGGGCTGCTGGCAGCACCTCTGCCCAGCCCTCCTCCCCAAGACTGACTCTGGGCTTCCGGCAGCTGACATTGAGGCCACTGGACCTTACCCACTGCCCTTCATCCAAAGATTTTTTTTAAAGTGACCCTTTAAAGGTTAAAAAAAAAAGTGAGGGCCTCCCCTGGTGGCGCAGGCAATTGAGCGCCGCACTGTGAAGCTGTCCACACGCAGCCTCTGCAGCGCCAGTATGATCCCGGCCGGCCGGCGAGGGTCCCACATGGCGCGGCAGACCTCTGTCTCGCCCGCTGCTCCCCTCAGCAGTGTATTTCATCAGTCTGCCTGTTCTGCTCCCCTCTCTGTCTCTGGTGAATCCTCTCACCCTCCTGCACATCTGGTCTATACCCCGGTTCTTGTATAAATAAGTAAATAAAGCTTTCAAAAAAAAAAAAAATGACCCTTTTTGACAAAAGATGTTGTTTATAATTATGTATAAATAACTCTTAAACTACTATACTGAAAGAACTTGTCCCATTTATATTGAATCAATCTTTTATTCGTCTTTCAAAATACTTAAGTTTTAAAACGAAAAGCAGAAAGCAGATTAAAACCAGTAATAGAGAATTCAGTTAACTTTTTAAATGATACTTGGAACTGAGGAGAGAGAATCAAATGTTCTTTAAAAAGCTGCTTTTAAAAAAAACACTGCAGAAATAACTGTAAAGGTGTCATTTCTACAATCCAACCCTTTGAGATGGGGACGGGTATGACATTCAGCTGTATAATATTACTGATAGGGGAAGATAATTAGTAGCTCATAAAGGTTTCTTAAGGCTATGAGGGGGCCTCAAGGTGAAGGTGGGGTTCTCATGAGCCACACTGTTAAACAATCATCTATTCTGCCTAACTGAACATTTAAGAATGCAGTTGTAGCAAAACCAGGAAAAATTCAACAGAAGGACTCTGAACTACTTTACCTAAATATATTATCTACCCTGAAGTAACTGACTTCCTACAGAACTCTGCAGTGGACACTTAGCTTCCTTTTCCCAAGAACACACGTAATTCAAAAAAGGCAAGAAAAAGAAAAGGAACATTAGGAGAATACACAAATCAGAAAGAAAGTTCAACAAAAAAATACATACTGAATTCTTATTCCACATTTTGATAATTCGAGAGTCTGCAGACAAAATCAAATCTAATGAATCCTGGAAATGAATGGATTTAATGGGCAGTTCGTACTGGTGATCCTTAACCAGCAATGGTTTATCAGAGCGAAGGTCATACAATAAAATCTAAAAGAAAAAAACAAGTTATTTGTTCATATAAACTAAATACTTTCTTTCAAAAAGCAACATCTGAAAACTCAGCTTAACGGCTGCCCATTTGCTTCGTTATCTTTTCCATGAACACAACAGAGACCCTCCCTCAGGCTCTAAAGTCAGTCCGCAAAACACCTCTAGGAAAATCTCTTCCACTACCCAGAGGGCATGTCTGAGGACTACTGAGCTATATTTAGAAGGAAGCAAAAGGAAAAGAATCTATTTCATTTGTTAACTTCACACACACACAGAGGCCGATGGTCAGACCCTGTGACTGAGCGGGAGGGAACCAGAGGCACAACGAGGACAGTCCTGGCAGATTTGCGTGGGGGTGCAGGCTGGGACCATGGGGGCTCCTGGAGAAGCTAGTTATTAGTCCCAAGTGACAGATCCAAGCCTCAGACCTGTTCTGGCAGGAGAGAAACCTGCAAGCTATAGGCTCTGCCTTGAAGGAACCGAAGAAAACCTTGGCAGCGCCTCCCTCACCCCGACCCCACCCCCACTAGCCTTTGTTCAGGTGTTTTCCGCTGACCCCTTGATGCTTGGGACTGGCTAATGGAGCTAGGTGAAAACACACTCCTTGCAAATCAGTGAACACATTTCTCATCTACAGAATTCTCAGAGCCTTCAATATATGTTCAAGTGCACACTGTGATGGAAGTAAGACTCTAGACCTTTCCAAAGTTCTGGACCACAGAATCTGTTCCACACTCTGGAAAATGTTCTAAACCAGTCAAGAGAGCAGACCCCACCATAACTCCAGTCCAGAGCTTCCAGGCCTGGCACTGAGTCAGACTCGGAAACTACTCGGGTGCTAGAAGAATAAGCATTCTGGAACACTCTCTGCTCTGGCCCACATAACAATGCCTCAGCTTCTGTTACTGCAAAGAAAAGATTTGTGGATGCTTCCCACCATATGCAAGCACTTCTGAAATACTAACATTAAGTGTGAAATTTCTGACTTGAACACACTTACCTGTCCTGTGGATGTTCCCACTGCCATGGTCAAGGCGCCATTAAACTTCAAAGCAGAGATTGTTGGTAAACTGTTGACCCTGAAAGGCAAAATACTCACATCAGGGAAACCTCCTTCTTGTAACAACTCAGTATTAACATCCAATTCCAATGAGGAAAATTTTATTTCTAGGTTTTTTTGTTTAAGAGGTTAATTGTATACAAACTTTCTTATTCAAAATAAATACAAACTTTACATATAAGTGTACTCTACCTTTAAAAACCTGTAGATTATCTTCTTGAAAGATAAAGAAATATGTTCAAAGTAGCTACAAACAAAAAGTTCCTGAAATTTGGAAACTAATTTAAAAGGTTCGGTATGAAATACCCCTCATTTTACTTGTTAGGACAAGGTATTTACAGAAATATCCCTTTTGCTTAAGGGATGATTTTACATTCAGGCATGGGTATGCCCATTTCTGTTTTTAAAGTTAACCCTGGGGAGTGAAAATAAAAAAGCAGTATCTCTTATCTTATGAGTGGTTATGGCCAAAAATCTGGAATATGTTCCTTATTCAGGAACCAAGAGTATCAACACCAACAACCCTCATCGGGGCCAGGACTGGTACCAGGCTGCTGCTGGCGCACACTCTCAGGCCTCTGGTGCCACCTACGGCCTCTGCCAGTGACTACACTGAAGCATCAGTGTGGAGCCTTGAGGCTCACATCCACACCACTTTTAGTCATTTACTCTTGAAAATAAACTTGAGAAAAATCATTTTTCTGTGCAGTAATGTTATTTTTCTTCATTTATTCAAGTTTCTTTGCTTCACATCATTTTCTTCACCAAGGTATTTACTAAGCTTATTGCTCGATAGTTCACATTTTCTGTTGTTATGAGAACTGCCTTCCCTTGTATCTTGCTAAATGAATGGTGATGATATACATCAATACCATTGATTTTGTGGCCACATTATTTGACTCTCATCCTAGTTTTAACAGTTTTCCAGTTGACTCCATTGGCTTTCTCAGGCAGTCACACCCTCTGCAAATGACAGCCGCCCCCACCCCAGCATTTACACGGCTTTCTCTTGTCCTGTTCTATCTTTAGAATCATCTTTGTGAAATTAACAGAGGTGACAGCTTACAAGAAGAAATATGGCTAAGCATAAAGAAAAATTAAGTCACCTGAAAACAACTGAATCAGCAAGCAAAACTACATTTTTGTACACATCCAGGCATTCCCCTGTGATGACACACATGTATTCACTCTTCTACCTGTCAAAGTGTGACCAAACTCTACAGGCAACGGTGTCATCTGCTTTTCCACTTAACAGGTATATGAACATCTTTCCCTAGAAAAAATATGCCTCTGCAGCATTAATTTTTTTAAGATTTTATTTATTTATACAAGAACTGGGGTACAGGTCGGAGGCAAGGGAGGGTGAGAGGATTCACCAGAGACAGAGCAGGGAACAGAACAGGCAGACGGACCACAGACACTGCTGAGGGGAGCAGCGGGCGAGGCAGGAGAGGTCTGCCGCGCCATGTGGGAATCTTCCTGGCCAGCCGGGAACCTGCGTTGCAGAGGCTGCGGACAGCTTCACAGCGCGGTATTCAACCCGCTGTGCCACCGGAGAGGCCCAGCATTAATTTTTAAAGGCTTACATATGCCGGAGCCAATATCTCCTCAGCTGTACAAATACAACAGTAACCATGTCACAAGTGGCTGCTGTATTAAGGTGGCAGAAGTAAAGAACTGAGTGTACCACCTGGCAAACAGAAAGTCCTATCTGTGGGTAATTACGTCTACCAGGTTGTGTTTCAGCAGTATCCCCAGGCTTGTCCAGGCAATTCAGTGGTGTTACACGGAGGGTGGGGAAGGCACGCTGCACACAGGGACAGGCCAGCACACCGGGGCGCCGCTTCCCGTTGGGCAGTTCGGCAACTGGCACAGAAGCCCACACACAAGTTTGCTGCTAATCCTAGAAATCTGTGCTCCAGTTATTTTCTCAAGAAAAACACCACAGAGCTAGAAATGGATGTGTGACAGTGGGCAGGTGAGAGCGGACTAGTGACCCAGGCCTGCTGTGTGCGCAGAGGTCATCTTTACAGCAGCCTGTGTACTTCTGAACTTCTCAGTATCTTTTTATATTAAGTATAAATCAGCTTTACAAATTTTCTTTAATCAACAAAATAACTTCTATCACACAACTGGAAAATGTCCCATTCCCACTAGAAATGTATGGGTCAATATTCTACTGAAGAAAAGAAGAGACTAAATGCTTGCATGCTACCAAAGACAATCTTTTTTAATGACTGTACCTTTCATGGAATTTTGCTGTGAACCTAAAATTCACCCTAAAAAATAAAGGCTTAATTAAAACAAACAGAAAGATGTTTTTTTCCCCACATTCTTTCTTTAAATTTCCCACAACGTAGCTTCTGTTATAATCATGAAATTTAAAGTAGCAATCACCTCTTAAGACAGATTGACAATAACTCCTGTGGGCCCATCTCTTAAATGCCTCCTTCAAGATGAAACAATGACAGTGTGTCCTGGAGCCCCAGTTTCTCTGTGATTAGCCAGAGACAAGGTAATGTTTGAAAATCTCAAATTCTTTTCTTCCAAGGAAGGGGTAAATATCTCTCACAACTGATTTCCTACTTTACAAAAATAAACAGGAGTCTGATTTTCTTTCATACCCACATGATGAAATAGGATATGAGCGTTTGGGTGGTCCAGTCTATTAACAGACAGGGTAATCTGAATCATTTGGCAGTCTGCACCGTGATGCTTGGTGAGTTTTTCTGCAAATGTATTGCATCTCACAATAAAAATGTCTAATTCTAAAAGTAAAATAGGTGTATAATGAGTGAATGTCCTCTTTAAAATTGTCTAATATAAAACTGTTCACTGGCATGTATAGAGGAAAATTACTATACTCACTTTAATGTCAAAATTAAAAGAATAATTAATTTTTTTCTTATCATATAAGGGAAAATAAATATATTAGAAAGAGTTATCTTTTTAATTCAGTGATTCTTAAATTTTTTTTAAGGTCAACAATACTTTCTTTACCTGAACTGAATCTTTCTTTTTTATATGCCTTTTTTTAAAAAGATTTATTTATTTATACAAGAACTGGGGTACAGGCCAAACGTGCGGGAGGGTGAGATGATTCATCAGAGACAGAGTGGGGCGCAGAACAGGCAGATTGACTGAAATACTCTGCTGAGGGGAGCAGCGGGGAGACAAGAGGTCTGCTGCACCCCGTGGGTAGCTCCCTGGCCGGGGATTGAACTCATGCTGCAGTAGCTGGCGATAGCTTTACAGCACTGTGCTCAACCTGCTGTGCCACCAGGGGAGGCCCCTGAACTGAACCTTTTAAAAGAAAGAACTGTATGAATTCTTCTCTCCTCCAAATAAGTGACACAAAATTCTTCAATAATTTGGAGGGCTCAGTGTCTCTATAGCCCCCCACCCCCATCAAACACTTGGCTTCCCACATGCTATCAGTTACAAGTGAAGGTCAGCTCAACTGAAATTAGCACATGCTAGTGAAATCATGTAACTATGAGTATCAAGAGCAGAGAGAAAGGGCATTCCAGACCTAATTCCAGCAAATAACCCCATGCTGAGGATCTGACCAAGAGCACAGTATGTAACTGGAGCACAGAAAAATGTCTGAAGGCGGATGTTATGAATAGTGGGATGGTAACCACCCTGGTGAGTGGGAAAAGACTGTGCATGTGCTTCTTACTTAACTCAAGCTTTTAGAGGCTTTCATCCCCCAAGTATGTGCTATTTTTCTACTTGTTTTCAATGTAGGAATTGGTAAATAAGAAATATCAAAAACAACAGTTTCCCTCTACCTTAGAATTCAAAGCACATCTTTCTGCTTACTAACTGGAGTGGTGGCACCTACTTCCATCACTAGATCCCACAGCGTATTTGTTGTAACAAAATTTAGGGCAAATGCATAAATAAGACATTCCGTATAGTACTTTAGACAGGAATCTGGCTTAGTCACTTATGTAAGTTTTCAAAAGAAAGGACCTGTATGTGAAACTATCACAAAAACCACAACCTCAGCCTCCCTGGTAGCACAAGGGATTAAGTTTCAGAACTATAAAACTACCGGCAGCCAGTGCGGCACGAGTTTGATCCCCGGCCAGGGAGCTGATCCACATGGCGGGGCAGACCTCTCCTGTCTCCCGCTGCTCCCCTCAGCAGTGTATTTCAGTAGAGCCTCCTGTTCTGTTCCCCATTCTGTCTCTGGTAAAGCCTCCCACCCCCCACATCTCTGATATGCATCCCAGTTCTTGTATGCATAAATAAATAAAAACAAATCTTTAGAAAACACAACAAACTACAACCTCAGACAGCTATGTCTCCAGGACATCACCCTTTATCAATCTGCTTTAATTTAGTATTAATATACTGTTTAAATCAGAAGTTGATGAACAGTTACACTGCAAATTAATCCCCACTTACTCGGAATCCGCCGTGACACTGCTCAGCGCGCAGTCCAGCAGGCCAACCCGACCACGAGTCCGTGGGTCCCAGCACTCCACACGGCCCTAAACAAACATGAAAGTCATTTTAAATAATGGCACCTAGGGCCTCCCCTGGTGGCGCAGTGGTTGAGTGCTGGATTGCGAAGCTGCCCGCAGCCTCTGCAGCACCAGTTCGATTCCCAGCCTCTGGCAAGGGGCTCACATGGTATGCAGACCACTCCTGCCATGCCCGCTGCTCCCCTCAGCAGTGTATTTCGTCAGTCTGCCTGTTCTGTTCGCCACTCTGGCTCTGGTGAATTCTCTCACCTTCCTGCACTTCTGACTGTACCCAATGCTTGTATAAATAAATAAATAAATAAATCTTTTTTTTTTTTTTTTAAAAATGGCAGCTATTGGGAAGGTTTTAGGCATTTTTACCACAACATTGTCTTATTAACACTGATTATTTGAGGGAAATAGAATTTTTAAACTTTCCACTCTATACCCTCCTTTTCAGTACTGTTGAATGTTTTATCATGATCTGAATTTCTTTTATAATTAGAAAAGCCAAGGAGGGAAAAGCTGGGTAAGAAAAAAGATCCAACAGCAATGCATGACCCTTGACTGGGGGGTGGGGAGGAGGGTTTGGAGCCATGAAAAATATGTTTTGGTATAACTGGGGAAATTTTAATATTCAATTATTATTGTATCAGTGTTAAATTTCTTAGGGACGATAATGGTATTATGATTCTAAAGGCAGCAGTCCTCGACTTTAAGAAAAAAACATTTTGGAAATATTTTGAGCTAAATGTCCTAATATCTACAACTTACTTTCAAATAGCTTACAAACATCTCTCTCTCTCTCTCTCTCTCTCACACACACACACACACACACACACACACACTCACTTTTTCTCTCTTAGAAAATGAAAAGCCAGGGCCTCCCCTGGTGGCGCAGTGGTTGAGCACTGGGCTGCGAGGCTGCCCACAGCCTCTGCAGCGCCGGTTCGTTCCCCAGCCGCCGGCGAGGGTCCCACCAAAAAAAAAAAGAAAGAAAGAAAAAGAAAAGAAAATGGAAAGCCAATGTGCGACACTTCAGGAGGTGTGAATTTTCTAAGAGTAAAAAACGGGTGGGGGGGGGGAGCAAAAGCAAAAGAAACAAAACAGAACTGCAAACAGAGGACTCCGGAGTGCAGAGGCACCTGATGCCTCACTGCCTTTGAAAAGATGTAGGTCCACATGTACGAGAGACGTACTCATCATGTTAAAAGCAATTTACTTAAAATATATGACCCCATGGTCTTCAAGAAAATAAATTTCGTACATAAAGACCAACAGATTATGAAGTGTTTAATTAAGGAACCGAGATTAGAAAAGGACAGAAGGGAATTAACCTTCTCACTTTTTATTCTTTGACTTTGTAATGATTAAAAAAATTACTTAAGTTTTTAAGTTTTTAAAAATATGAACTACCTTAAAAGCAAGGCCATAAACATACTTAGAAAGTTTGATCTCCTTGTTTGATATTATTTAAAACATCTGTCACAAAGAATAAAGGAGGAGAAATCGTATAAATTGTGAAGCAGGTATATCCAAATAGTCTAGTTCCCTGTCTTCTCAAAATAAGCTTATGGGGGCCTCCCTGGTGGTGCAGTGGGTTGAACACAGCGCTGTGAAGCTGTCTGTAGCCTCTGCAGCACATGTTCGATCCCGGCCGCCCAGGGAGAAACCCACGTGGCGCAGAAGATCTCTCCTGTCTCGCCCGCTGCTCCCCTCAGCAGTGTATTTCAGTCAGAGTGTCTGTTCTGTTCCCCACTCTGTCTCTAGTGAATCCTCTCACCCTCCTGCACCTCTGGCCTGTATCCCAGTTCTTGTATAAATAAATAAATTTAAAAAAAAAAGGTTTAAAAAAAAAAAAAGCTTATGGACATAAAAAAGGAAAATCACATTTCTAAACCAAAAAATGGGTATGCAGCTAAATTCCAGAATAATTACAATTTTTTTTTTTAAATCAGACTGGTTTTCTGTGGCCTACCTTGAATATTTCTTTGCCAAGCTGGCACTCATGCACTTCAGACAGACAAAATGCAACTCTTACTCCCCAATGTTTACCAAAGTAACAATAACTCACAGAAGAGACCAAAACTCAACATACAATGTCAAAAATAATGCAAAAAATAACTTCTGAAGTTCAGTCTGACTTTACATATCAAATTCCGAGCCCCCAACCATCAAGTGGTTTCAGGAGGCCCAGCCTCGAGACTCCTGGGGGCTGTCCTCCCCGCGTGCCAGCCCTCTGGGCTGTGATATGGCAGACGTGTGACTCACGACCGCTCCTGAGGCCCAGCCTGCACTGCTCCACAAGGACACCATCTTGAAACTATTTCCCCAAAGAAACCACTTTGAAATATCCCTGTGATCGCAAATAAATACCAAGAGAAAACTTATTTGGCCTGGTTTAGGCATAATAGTATTATAAGAAATATTTGATGAAGTTTTATAAAACTCCATTAAATTGACCTCGATTGCTCTATATCTCAAATCCTAATCTCATAAAATTAATGAGTGAAGAAACCTAAATGGCACCATATGGACTTGTAATAAAAGATAGTACATTAGAACAGTGAAGTCCTATTCATCAGTTTTAAAAACTTACCCTTGTATTATAAGTAATTTTAAGTAGCAACACAAAGGCATACATATATGCTATTGTATTTTATTTATTTATTTATGCATACAAAAACTGGGGTAAGCCAGAGGTGAGGTGGGTGAGAGGTTTCACCAGAGGAGGGAGTAGAACAGGCTGACTGACTGAAATACACTGCTGAGGGGAACAGCAGGGAGTCAGGAGAGGTCTGCTGCGCCATGTGGGTAGCTCCCTGGCTGGTGATCGAACTTGTGCTGCGGTAGCTGCGGACAGCTTCATAGGTTGCACCTTAACCCCTTGTGCTACCAGGGAGGCCCATGCTACTGTATTTTTAAAAAGCAAATGGAAAGCCATGGCAGAATATGATTTCATTTCTGTAAAACACTTTTATACACATGCACACGTGGACGGACAGAAGGCGCGTGGAGCATTGAGGCGCTCCTTCTGGGGCCAGGTCTTTGGAATTGGAGACCACAGAGGACACTTTTTAATACTACTTTTTTTTCAATTGCGTAGTTACCATTATTATAATTTAAAAACACACGCCTAGAAACACTCTTGACAAGCACCAAGAACACCAGTTCACAGATAACGCGGTTCAAGAGAAACCCGCTGCTGCCCTGCAGCTGCATCACATCCCAGGTGCCCTTCCAGGTGTGAGGTTTCCAGAGGGTGTTCCCTGTGATCTTCACCGGGGCCTCTGGAGTCTCCCTGTCACTGAGGACTCGAAACCTCAGGAAAGTAATGACACACAAGGCACTAAGAGGCACAAAGAGTTGGACGCTGACGACCGCCCCCATGAAGGGGAGCAGGCAACTGGTGGCCCTGTGGCCGCTTGGCCACCTGTGCCTTTGGCATCTGGCACAACCATCTTGCGATGCACCTAAGCCAGATGCCTACTTTCGCGGACAGGGCACAGTAGCCTCCTCGTGCAGAGACCACCCTCACACCAGAGAGCTATGCGGCCAAGTTTATCAGCACCCTGTTGGCGGGACCACAAGGCTCTCTTAGTAAAACTCTACTCATCATCAAATTACTAAAATATTTAAACAAATAAGGCCTGAGCACACTTACCTCGACTGTTCCCGTGGCGAACAAGCCGTGCACCGCATTTACATCGCAGACATTATTCTCCCTAAAACAGTGGTGCAACAAGAGAGTATTAGCCCCACTTTGGGGAAGCAGGGCAGTCAATAAACTTTCTACATCGACAGTTAACCCAAGCTGTATGAAGACGGCAGGTTCTCTCACTCATCTGCACCCGAAAAGCACTGGGCCAGGAAAGGGCTGCGTGTTGGCACGCAGTCACCAGCTTCTGCTTGCCAGCAGGACACTTGGGGACCACTGTATGACCCTGACAAGTGACTGACCCTCTCCGAGTCAGCTGGCCTCAGCTGCCCCATCTGTAAAATGGAGGTAACAGTTCCTCCCACACAAACGTGCTCCAAGATTCAAGTGGCCAATGTATCTAAAACACTGAATAATGCCTGGCGTGCAGGAAGGACTATTGTCGTTATCACTCAGTATTATGATGACAAATTCAGGCCTAAAGGACTTCGGGGGAAAAGAAAAAGGTATTCAAAATATTTTTCTGAAATGCTAAAGAAAAAAAAAATTGTGTAAACTACAATGCATGCTAAAAGGAGACAATGAGAAAACCTTAAATGTCTACTAACAAAAACAAAGAAAATGAAAACTTTATAAAATGGTACTCCAAGTTAATTCAAAACCTCTTCACGAGAGTGTATCAGAGCAAAATCACAAAAGTCTAAACAACGGCTCAAAAAAATTTTTTTACCAAGTTTTTAAGCTGAATATATTATAAAATATGTTTTTAAAAACAACCAGGCCTGTGAACTTTTTATTTAAGAAAAGGCTGATGGTACTCTAACTCCCCCGAGCATAGCTTAAAGCAACACTGCCATGACAATGTGAGCATTTGGCGCCATCTTCTGGTCAAAATAAACATAGCGGTACTCACGCAGCATCAGTTTGGAGTGGATTCAGATACCGTCCTTGCTCCAAATTTAACCTATAAACTTCAGAGCTGCAAAGTAAAGAATAAAGTTAAAAATCTAAAAAACTACAATAAACTTTTCTTCAAATAAATATACTTTTAGATGTCTGCACATATCACTCATAAGGTGTCACTTCCCTTTGTAACAGATATGAACGTGCACTCTAAATCTAAAAACAAAAAAAATCACCTTATTTGTGAGTTTGTGTACAGAACCGTACCACTGAGTCGCAGTGTTACCGCAGCTAAAAAAAGAGATGTGGGCCTCCCCAGTGGTGCAGCAGTTGAGCGCTGGGTTGCGAAGCTGCCCGCAGCAGCCTCTGCAGCGCCAGTTTGATCCCCGGCCACCGGGTGAGGGTCCCACATGCCACGCAGACCTCTCCTGCCGCCCGCGGCTCCCCTCAGCAGTGTGCTTCGGTCGTTCTGCCTGCTCTGCTCCCTGCTCTGGCTCTGGTGAATTCTCTCACCCTCCCGCACTTCTGACTATATACCCCAGTGCTTGTATAAATAAATAAATAAATCTAAAAAAAACAAAACAAACAAAAAAAAAAACCACACACAAAACTCCAATGGTAGTGGGAAAAAAAAAAAGATGTGATTCCTAAATGATCCAAGTAGACCCTCAGGCAACCAACTAAAAAGGTGGGGTTGTGTCAAATTCATCTTTGAATCTCTCCCCCAATTTCAAGAACAGATACTGTCTGGCAGGTAGAAAGGAGAAAGGAGGGTGATGAGTCCCAATTACCTTGCACCTACGAAGTACAGGTCACAGGATGGGTAATGGTAAGAGAAATCTCTCCCAAACTTGGGTATTCTGGTCTTGTAGTAGAAGCCCGACTGTGAGTGGAACTCAACGTATCTGTCATCATGTAAGAAGACAATCTGAAAAGTAAAACAGAAAATGTTTGCTTAGGCCTCATAAAATGTTTATTTCATCATCATCACTGAACTGGCAAAGAAAAACTCTGATCTCTCCCCACCTCCCTCTTTCTGTAGACCCATAGTACACACACATCTCGCCCCTGTGATGAAGAACTGAACCCCTCCATTGGTTTCTCAAAGCTTTCTTGCACCTGAGATAGTCTTTCTGCAAACCCTATTTTCTGCGGGCATGCACGTGGTTCCAGCTCGTTACGGGCACAGCCCCCTCGGTGACCTCAATGAGAGGGGTTCTGTTTTACTTAAGAACACATTCTAATAATCTCACAATTATGCAGCGGTTGAAAAACTTACACATTTAATTTCAATATAGTAATAGGTATCTTAAAAATCTGCAGGTGGTATTTTAAGCATATTCATCAATATCTAGAGAAAATACACTATAAAACTACTTGTCCCAAAACATGTGGCAAACAGGCAAAAGTTTCTGCTGTTTATGGAACTGAAGATAATGTATAATGCTATGTCAGGTCAGAAAATTCAATTTTCCTTCAAAATGACATCTGACATCATCAATTTTTTTTATTTTAAGCTAAATAAGGCATTTTACTGGTGGCCAGCTCACTGTTCAAAGGAACAGAATCTGAAAGAGACTCATCAGGAACAGAGAAGAAAAGGGAACCCGCACATCTAGACGTGCTGAGTTGTTTCAGAAGACAGTAGGACCGCTGGTGGGTCAGGAAAATAAAATATAAAACACTGCTATTTTACTTTTCATATCTGAACAAGAGGAAAGCGACCTTGCAAATTACACTCGTTTAAATGTAATGATCAAACTCACAAATCTAGAATAAATAAGATGGTCTAAAAAAGATGACTGCTACCAATTCTTTTAAACGTGCATAAAACTTCATATGCAATTTAAGAAACTCATTTTGACACTAGACTGGTCAAAGGCCCTCTCTATCACTGTCATTTTTAAAAGATATCAGGCATCAAACATGTGACAAGTTAAACAGATTAACTGAAAATGATAGGCCTTGTTTTACCACACATCGATCTTTAATTTATGAATGGGATCATAAAAATATGTCATAAAAATAAATCCCACCCTTATTTCTTGCTATGGCCAGTGCAAGCCGTGCTGCTGAGCATACCTTTGAATAGTCATCGGACAAAGTGTCAAACGTGACAACTGAAAAACAAGAAGCAGTGGGGAAAAGTATATCATCAATCCACATTTTAAGTAAAAATATGACTCTGATATGAAGATTCTAATTCAGCACAAAAATTTCATAGAAAACTGCTTTTACTTCTTTGCTGTCCTTGTTTGAAAAAAAGAACAAAGTTGCCACATTATATTGCCCCCAAAACATCAAATGGAAAATTAAAAGCTTTATATTTTCTCAATACAGATCAATTAGATTTTCTGCAGAACTAAAGCAAATTTAGAAAGGTAATTTCACAAAACAGAATGATTCCTAGATTTTTCCATGGCTTTTCTGAGATGTTCAATATAAAATAAGATTAAGAAACATTCAAAGTGTGTTGCTTTAAGAGAAGGTAACTAACTTGATAGTTATTCACAGCACACCTGCTAGACAAAAATAGAGTGAAAGTTAACAGCACATGGGGTGTCTACTGTTTTTAAAAAGAAAAGGGTGAAACATGCTAGGATATATATCACATTAAATTCTTTTCTCTCGATGTCAAACATGAGGCCATCTGATACAAACAGCAATGTGTTCCCAGGGGAGCCTGTACAGCCACCACCGCCAGAGCACGTCGAAGGCCACCGGTGACCACACCACCTGCTGCAAAGGGGGCGGGGTTAGGGTTATGTGAGCCCTTACAAAGCGGTTTTCTATGGCTGGTGGCCCCAGGCTGATGGATTGTGGGAAACAGTGACCAGGCCCCTACAGCCCCAACAAAGTACACCCTGTCAACAACCTACATGAATGGAAATGGAGTCAGGCCCAGAGGCGACGGGTGAGAGCCTCCCTTGCGGACACCATGAGTTCGGCCTTGAACGCAGCACAGAGCAGCGCCTGAACAGACCTCACCTGCAGAGCTGTGAGCTACTAAGTGGCTGTTTGAAGCTGTTGTGTTTGTGGCAACTTGGTACACAGCACAGAAAATGGTACACAACCCCCCTCCTATTTTAAAAAGGAGAAAAGCAGCCAATTACAAAGAGCTACTTTCATAAATTCAAATTTAACCTTTTACTTACCTTCTGAATCTAAACACCTTTCAAACTTCAAGGATAACTGATAGGTGTCATAACATCGAACCCGAGGTTTATATGTTCCTATAAAAAAAGTCATATAAAAGCTAAAGGACATACTTTCTAATTGTAAACACCCTGTAAATAGGTTGAACATATTTTTTGTCTAGAGGCAAGGAGGGATAATTGTAACCATATCATAGAATTTAAAAGTCGCCCTCCCCAATATTCCATGGAGAAAATGAGCAAAAGGATATAAACAGGCAAGTCACAGAAAATGAAACACAAATAATCAGCTTTACAAATAATTAACAAAAGATATTAAAATAACAAAATGTTTTTGGCAGCAGAATGGCAAAGATGAAGGGGCCTCCCTGGTGGCCTAGGGGTTAAGTCTCTGTGCTATCACTGCTATGGCCTGAGTTCCATCCCAGCCAGGAGCTGCTCCCCTCGGCAGTGTATGTCAGTAGACCCGCCTGCTCTGCTCCCTACTCTGTCTCTGGTGAGTCCTCTGTGCGTTTCACTGTAGATAGGGACATACAGAACTCCAGGTAATGACTCACATACCGAGTCACTCGAGGTGGAGTATACTGCCCACTGAAGCTCCTTCAGAAAGGCACCCAAAACAGAATGGGCAGAGAGGGGGAGAGAGACATGTGGCAGAGCAAATCCAGCAAACATTACTGCAGAATCTAGGTGTTGGTAAACAGATGTTTACCACAATGCTTTCAATAAACTTTGAAACTTTCTATAAGAACATGTTAGAGTAATAAAAAGAAAACCTGGCCATACCTGCTATGAAGTGTATGTAAATCACAACCAAAAACAAGCTTACCGGTGGCTAAAATATACTGTCCATCCTTCGACACCTTAATAGTAGTGCAAACAGTAGGCATCTCAAAATCCTGGATAAGTTCAATTCTCCTACGGACATCTAGAGAGAGAGAAAGGAAGCACCCGGGTCACCGCTACGTGCTTGTTCCTCCCACAGGATGGCAAAGCACACAGAGCAGGGATCGTCCTGGTGCCCTGTCCCCCATGACTTGCCAGGGTTCAAACATTTTTCTAAACTAAGTATTTCATATTTACTCTTCAAAAAGAAGTATGTTTCATTAACTTTTTTAAAATAGCCAAATAATGCATGACATAGTGTTAAGACCTGGATAAAGGTGAACAGAACAAACATTAAACCACGATGACTGCTCAAAAAAAAATTGTCTTGTAAATGTTCAGACATTCAAAATCCTGGCACCAATGATCTGCTGCCAAGAGGATCCAGGCTCAAACACCAGCAGGGACTCGCAAGACTGGCTCCATCTGACAGGAGCGTGCAGCTCTGGTGGTGCCCTCCTACCCCACTGCCTGCAGCAAGGACTGTGACTCTAAAGGGCATGTAACTGCCTCGTGCATTAAACCCAAATATAAGGCACCAACCAAGCAAGTAGGGGGGCGGCTCACTGTGGAAAACAGTGAGTTCGGAGACGGCTAGGAGGAGTCAGCACCCGCTTCTTCCCGCTAACCTGAGTCTGCTCTCCCCCAACCAGACAAGGGAGCAGCGTGAAAGGATCAGATGCCATTAGGCCAGCAGACATCACCAAAGCAACCATTTTGGGTTTCCTTTAAGGTCTGGCTTTCTTTTTTCTTTTCTAAAGGTTTTAATTTATGGATCCTCTCATGAGAATCTGCATAATCACCACACAATCACACCACAGGATCCTCACTCCCCGCTGCCAGCACCAGCTGGCCCTTGCAGGCCCCCGACAGCCTGCATCCTGTTCCTGAGACCCCTCACCATCTCCTTGAGGTCTTGGTCTTCTTTCAAGTCTATGTTTAGGTTCATTTTCCTTTTTGTCACTCAGCAATTTGCAATCATGACCAAGCCAGTTATCTCCCCACCATCAAAGTGGGTTTTGAATCCAAATACAAAGATGACATCCAGGATGGGTGTGCATATTTTAGCCAGTTTTCCCCGCATCTCTCTTAGGTGCTGCTGCCTCCCCAGGGTGAAGGACCGGTCATGTGTTTCCGGTGACAAAACCATAGGGTCGTGACCTTCCTGGCCTGGAGGGTATCTATGCTGTTCACGATGGTGGTACACCTTCAGGCAGCCAGCGAGGAAAAAGCTCAATTTTCTCCCCTAATTTAGGAAGATTACTTTTCCAAGATGTTTGCCTTGGGGTATTTATCTTGGTATTTGATAAAATACATGAGGCAATAAATCATGTTTCATACATGACAAGTTATAATGGAGAAAATCTGTCCCTAATGATTTTAAGTATAAAATCAACCACACACACAACATAAAAGAATCAGAATCTTCTGCAGTGAGTTTTATTGTTCATTTTCATATGTCCTGTATATAAAATACTTAGTTAAGAATACAAATGTTGGGCCTCCCCAATGGCGCAGCGGTTGAGCTCTGGGCTGCGAAGCTGCCCGCAGCTTCTGCAGCCCCGGTTCGATCCCTGGCTGCTCCTGGCCACCGGAGGAGGGTCCCACATGGCGCGCAGACCTCTCCTGCCGCCCGCTGCTCCCCTCAGCAGTGTACTTCGGTCCTTCTGCCTGCTTTGCTCCCCGCTCTGGCTCTGGTGAATTCTCTCACCCTCCCGCGCTTCTGACTGTGCCCAGTGCTTGTATAAATAAATAAATAAATCTTAAAAATAAAAAAAAAAAAAAGAATACAAATGTTCACTGTCTCCAAATCTCAAAACCCAACAACTGGGTTTAACCAATGAAAAAGATTTGGATAGGCTGGTGAACAAAGCCATTCCAGAGTCGTTGGGAGAGGGGCTGGGGAAAACGGGATTGCAGGTGACAGGACTGACCCAGGAGGCTTGTGACTTCGGCTGCCATCCATGGAACAGAACAGGCTAGCTGATAGCTTGTAAGTAGGCAGAATCAAATCCCACACCCACCAGGAACCTATCAACCACAGCAAAGGTTTCTTAAGAGGGATAAGGGAAATAATTTATTTTCCACTGCATTTTGTAAACCTATGGCAACAGCAAATGAATGACAGCATCACAATCTGAACCATGAATGTAGCTGAAGAGAAAAACAGTAATACTCACCAACATCTTTCTTCTGTAGGGCTCTCTTCTTCCGGTCAGAAAGCCACTTAAAGAAAATAAAGAGACTTCATTTTACAACTTTTCTTTTAGTCTTTTTCTGCTTAGTCTTTTTCTATTTCTGCAAAAATAATGGGCCTCATATGAAAAAAACTGAAACCTTATAGGAACACATAACATAGAAAGTGAAAATATTCTGTAATCCTAACCCCACTATCATATTCTTTTTTTCTTGATGATATTTAAACCTATTAGACAATAAAATTTTATAACTTTTTTTTTTTTTAATTTTCTAGAGGCATGTCTTTTTTATTTTTTATTTATTTGTTTGTTTTTGTTTGGTTTATACATGCACTGGGTACAGTCAGAAGCGCGGGAGGGTGAGAGAATTCACCAGAGCCAGAGCGGGGAGCAGAACAGGCAGAAGGACCGAAGGACACTGCTGAGGGGAGCAGCGGGCGGCAGGAGAGGTCTGCGCGCCATGTGGGACCCTCCTCCGGTGGCCGGGGAGCAGCTGGGGATCGAACCGCTGCGCCGCAGAGGTCGCCGGCAGCTTCGCAACCCAGCGCTCAACCGCTGCGCCACCGGGGAGGCCCAAAATTTTATAACTTTTAATAGAAAACAATTTCATCGAATCAACCGATGAGCAAGTCTCAAATATTAGGTGTTATAACTAATGCATGGAACAACTTCATCTATTTAAGTGGATTTTTAACAAGTAAGCAACTCTGATCACCCTAAAGCTGTGGTTCTCGAACAGGAAGAATTCTGCTCCCCAAGTACACTTAGCAAGTGTTAAAGACACATTTGGTCGTCACGACTGGAAGGAAGCTGTGCCCCCGGCTTCTGGGCGGTAGAGGTCGGGGCGCTGCCAATCACCCCACAACTCACAGGACAGCCCCCCAAACAGGGAACTGTCCAACCGGACGGTCAATAACGCCGATAATAATGAGGCTCAGAAGCGCTACCCTGGAGAAGCGGGGCCTCCCCGACCGGGCAGCCGGTCAGGGCCAAGCAAAACAGGGCGGCGCAGAGGGGCGGCGGCCCGCGAGGAGGGGGCTCCCGCCGGGGCTCACCTCGGGGAGGGACTTGCCGCAGCTGAGGCTGTAAATCTTCACCTCGTTGAGGCTGGAGACCTGCATGGCGGCGCCGGGGAGCAGGCACCCCGGCTCCGGCCCCGGTCCCCGCTCGGCCCCGGGTGGCTCAGCGCGCCCCACACGCGAACACCCGAGTCCCCAGGTGTCCCGGCGCACGTCCGCCGCGTGCGGCGCGGCGCGGGGTGATGACGCGCTTCCTGTCGCCGGAAGTGCGCGTTCCCGGAAGCGGGAAGCGGCGAGGAGAGGCCGCGCGGCGCCGGGGCGGGCCGGGACCCTCCGCCGCCCCGAGGGACGCCTGCGGGACGACGGGTCGGAGCCCGGCGAGCGAACCGGGCAGAAGTGTCTTCTTTTCCCTCCACCCGCGTTTGTCCAACATTACGTTAGGAATAAGCGCGCTTTAGCGTTGGCGCCTTGCAGAGGGGTGGAGGTGGGCCCGGCGGAGCGCGACCTCCTTCCACGGAGGAGGGACGGGAGACGCGAGCTGCGAGCGCACGGCGGGAACGGGAGCGGCGGCCGGCGAAGCCGCGGGTGTGAACCTGCGGGCCGCAGAGACGGGTGCGCGGCGGGGAGGACGGGCGCGGCCCTCGCCCGCGCCGGCCAGGAGGCCCACAGGCCGCGGGTTAGCCGGAGCGCCGCCCTTCCCGTGACCTGGACCCGAGAACTTGAGGGTTTTCGTCTTACTCAATAGAATAAAACGTGAGGGGAAGGCGAGGTTACCTGTGCAGTCAGGCGGCTCCTTTCGGAATGGGAGCTCCACACCCCTTCCCTCACGCGTGCAGGTGGGTCATTTGGAGCAACAGGCTGTATTGCCCGTGCCCCGGGTCAGGACTCCTGGGCTTAGCCATTTTAATTCTGTCACAACAGTCCTTAAAGTTCCAGTGTGAGTTCTGCAATACCTCCTGCCGGAGACTTTCTTGGGGAAGCGTGCAGGACTGCCAGCCTCCTTGGGGAGGCAGTGTGCCGCGGAGAGGTCTGGGGCTGCGTAGCCACCATCAAATAAGTCTGTAAGCAAGTGATACAAACAGAAAACGCTTATTTCTCAAAAACTGTAGAATGATTTCCAAGAAATCCTTGATGGTTTAACACACACAATAGTACTTTTATTATTTTCTAGAATTTATTGTAAAGGCCCACTGACTGTAAAAACAGTAGTATTTGTCATTTAGTAAGTGCTGTTTAAGTGTTAGATATAAGATATGCAGCTGTGTCCTGTTACTAACTTTGATAATTAAGGACCTTAGAATGTTTCACTTCAGTCTTGATTTTCACTGACCCCCTAGATTTGCCTTCTGCTTGGGTATGGCTTCACTATTCAGGTTTTGAATCTTTGCCAGTGCTAATCTAGACTCTGGAATGCCTTCCTTTCTACTTGTATCCAGATCCCTCCAGCTTCTCAAAATTCACCTTTTGAATTTTTTGCTCATTCTTGTATCTTGCATGCTTTCACTGCACTGGAAGGTAATGCCTTTTTGGCAATTATGTTTTTAACATTTTAAAAAATTATCCTATACTTTCACTGTATTGTAAAAAGAAATACCTTTGTGGCAGTTATCTCTCTTTTTGGTAGATTTTTATTATCAAAAGTCACAGTAATTGAACACATTGCACAAGTACCATAATAATGAACTTGAATGGAATGCAATGCAAGGTGCTATACTTGACAGTTTCCTTCAAGCATTATGTTGCCTTAATTCACCACAAAGCCTCAAGGCTAATTAAATTGTCATTTTTAAAGAGCCCATAAATCACCTTCCTTTGTTAAACTTGGGATCAACTCCTTTTGAACCCTTTCTTCACTCTCTTATTTGCTTAACTTCTCATTTTTATTACTCTAGGAAATGTTTAACATACTTAAAAGTTAAATAGTGTATTGAGCTCCTGTGTGTCTCACCCGCCTTCAAAAATTCACGTTCAGTCTGTCATGTTTCAGGGGTGTGCTCACTACACCCTCAGCCTTACATTATTTTTGAATGATTTTGAAGCAACTCTAGGACAATTATCTTTGTGGGTTGTAATAAGCCTGTCTGACCACCTCCTCCATCTAGACTTGATGACAGAATCGGCCTTAATTTAGTTCTGAGTTTCCCAGGCCCAACCTGGTGCCTGGTAGGTAGCATACGCTCAGTAACTATTTCTTGATAAAAAAGAATCAATTAATTGATCACCCCTCATCCTGACCCAGAGTCCTAATTTTTTGTTCCATTGATTTTGGCCTCTGGTAATAGTGAAAACAGCATAACTCTGTGCCGGATGATTAGTGTTTTAAACCCATCCATGAGACATCTTGTCTCTAGCGGGAAGGTGAGGAACCACACATGAGGGAACACAGTGTTTTCTGCAAGACAAAACGAGGTGTTCTTTGTCCTTAGTGCCAGGTCAGCAACCTCTCCAGAGTCACTCCCCTGAGGCTTGGAGCTACTGCGCCCTTGGGTGGCTTTGCCCTCATGGTAGACTGCAAGGCAGGGTGCGGCTTCTCCAGTGTTTCTGGGCCCCTGTTGAACACATGCATTCAGTCCCTAAGCCGTCAGCAACTTGAATGGAATGCTTATTAGATGCCTATGCTGGGAGCCAAGGGCTCAGACTCTAGAACCTGTCCGCCTGGGTCTAAATCCTGGCTCTACCCCTCGATACTAGGATGGAGCAAGTTAATCTAATTGCTCTGCATCTGTTTCCTCATTTATAAAATGAAGATAATAATAGTACCTTCCTCAGAGGGCTGTTGTAAAGATAAGTGAAATATGCCATAAGCCATTGATTCCAGGTCACCTATTTTTATCACCCCTGAAATCAGGATGTGTTTTGCATGTCGTGCATGTTTAATTGACAGTATTTTTCCCTTAGTGATGCACGAGGCAGTAGTGCATCTTAGAGTTAAGAGGCTTAAGATTCAATAAAACATAGTGTGTATGAAGCACATAGAACAGTGCCTGGTACAGCAAGCACTATGTATTAGTATTTATTCCTGAGAACCAAACTATTAAAAACTAAGAAAAAACAGTTAAGTTGTAGGCCCCAAATAACCTTAGATGCTTGGTTATCAGTTGCCATTCAGAAACCTTCAGGTAACATTCAAGATTCCTCTCCCAATTCTTCACCTCCACGGCCAGTCCATCTCCAAATCCTTTTGATCCTCCCTTGCAGATGTCAGATTCACTCTCTGTAAGGGCAGGAAGGGACGGAGCAGGTTTTCTATGATCTCAGCAGACGGGGTAAGGGAGGAGTCAGAGTCCTGGAGCCCTCGGTGGCTTTTCAGGCTTTTATTGGGATTTGCCAGGTACACGGCAGGCAGGGGTTCTGGGGGGCTGGGAGGCTGGCAGGCCTCCCAGCCCCCAGCTATCTTCACTGTCTGGGCTCTCCGGCCTTCTCTGGTGGTCTTGTTCTCCGCTGCTCGTGGTTCTCCTCCTGCTTCTCTGCTTCTCCCCCATTCGTTCTGCTTCTCCTGGCGTCCCCGTGACGCTGCCCTTAAAAGCCCTGTCTTAGCCCAAGTGAATCCCATCACCTCTGCCCACACCCTGCTCCAGGTGCCGCCATCAGGCATGCATTCAGGACCGCAGGGATCCGTCATCCATCCTGATGCGGGAGGGCAGAAAAGCCTGATGCTTTGACCTTACCCTACGCTCCCTGTCCCCACTGTGGCAGGTGTGCAAACCCGCCACCCCCCCCCCCCGACCTGCTGTCGCAGTCCTCTTTTCTGGCATCTCGTGCTCAAATCTGTCTCCTGCAAGAGGAAAAGCCATCTCTCTACAGGCCACTCTGATCATGGCACACACCAACCCCAAACACTAGTTCTCCCAAAACCTAAAAGAATGCATCTGAAGACCGTTGCTGGCCCTTAGCATTCCTGGATAAAGCCCCTGGCGCGCCCTCTCCCTGGCCCCCTTCCCACCCTCCTTGCTCCCCAGGCTCTCCAAGCTCAATAATTTACAACTTGAAAAATGTGAGACCCGCTCTCACCCCATTTAGGCCTTCGCACCTGCTCTTCTATTTTTAACACCACCCCCCATGGCCCTTGGTAACTCCCATTCACCCTTCTTCCCTCCAAGGGCCCTAAATATCTAAGTCTCACTGCGTGTTGTGTACATCTCACTGCAGTGTTGCTTAAACTGGGGCCGACAGTCATATTCTCCAGTCAACATTCAAGGTGTTTTTCTTTCAAGAAGAATCTCCTAACAATTGATATAAGCATGTCTGATTATTATCTAGTGGGCCATTGTCTGAAAAATACCAATTGGCATCAGTGCCAAGTTTGCTTTTGAGTTTAAGTTCAGTGGCACCACATGCTACTACTTCCACTGCCTTGGCTCAGTGATTGCGAGAGGGGGCTAGAAAGGTAATGTGATAAGGAGGAGTGTGAGTAAGGTGAGAGTCCAATGATGTCATGGTCTGCTGAGAAAGGAGGTTTTGCAATCAATCAAATAGAAGAGAGTGATATAAAAAATTGAGTGAACTTGATCACGCAGGGATAGAAAGTGCGTAAGAATCCATGACACTGTATATTCACTGAGCAAAGTGACAACTGGTTTTCATCAAAAGAATATCAATAGGGCCTCTTTGTTTGGCACAAGGGGGCAAATCTCAGCACTATGAAGCTAATGGCAGCTACTGCAGCACGAGTTCGATCCCCAGCCGGGGAGCTGACCCACATGGCGCAACAGACCTCTCCTGTCTCACCTGCTCGATCTGCCTGGTCTGCTCCCCACTCTATCTGGTGAATCCTCTCCCCACAACACACACCTCTGGCCTGCACCCCAGTTCTTGTATGCATAAATACATCTTTTAAAAAATAACATTTAAAAAAATAAAATGTCAAACAGACAACAAAACAAAGCCAAGTTGAACCTTATTCACGGCTGAAGAATACTGCTTATGTTATCATTTTCTCTCTACTGCCCATTTCTCCATAGAGTCCCAAACGGCACAGCACGTCATCATCGCTGATGCCTACAGCTGTCTCCCTGCCGCCACCCCACCGAGCAGATGCCTCATGTGTTGGGAGGTTATTGGAAATAAAATCACCAAAGTTTATTGCAGGCACAGAAGCTGTTCTAAGTTAGATGCTCACATGTTACCTCATTTACTCTTCACCAAACCTCATGAGGGAAACAGTGACTTTTGA